GTGTGCAGCCGTACGGGTCGCACTCGCGCGGGCATACTGCCACAATGACCACACTTGTTACAAAATAAATATGTTAAAAAATAGGATTATCTTTCATGACAGCGCGGCGACTTGCTTTTTGGTGAGTCAACATCATTAACATCCCTTTTACGTCCCCAAACCCCAGGCATAGGCCTGCACTGGCAGGGGCATAGGTTTTCCTTATGGATGGTTAAAAAGGATTTCATGCACGACCCCCTACGCTGGCCCAATGCGGAATTGGAGGGTATTAACGACTGTAAATGTAGCCGGTACCAAAGGCTTAACGTGCCTTCCGAAGCACGGAGTAGCTCGAGATAATATTTTTATGTCACCCATTCCAGACCGACCCGTCGACCTGTCGCTTAACAACAATGATCGCAGGCCGCTGTGTTTATCCTCTACACCGCCGTACTACTAGCTTTTGCTGAGTTCATGGTAAAAATATTGTTTTACATACGTCTTTCTTTACTGCAAATATATAATAATGCATGATTTTTATTTTCAAAATTTATAAAAACTAATATTAAAGTAAAAAATCACTGAGATTTGGAAGTTTTAAATCTCGATTAGAATAAACACACGGGCGTACCGAAGAAATAGGGATAGAGGGGATGATTTTAGGTTCAAATGAAGGAGCAGTGGTGAACTCGATGGTTCGAGAGCGTTCGGTAAGCTATGCGAAAGTTAAGCAACTTTCACAACGGCCGGTATTGGATGACCAAAAAATTATTATAGGACCTTCGTGGTGAGTCATGGGCCATTCGATTCAAATCCCATTCATAGGAAACGTCTGTACTCTCTCAGCAGGAACATTAATAGGTCGATAATGATTTTGATGGTTCAATTGGCAATGGATAGATTGTTAAATTATATTGTGGAAGTCTCTACACTGCAACCCAACTTGATAAAATATCGTTGTTATAGACATTAGCCAATGACAACACAGGTTCTGAATTTAGATCTTAAGGTCGGTACAAATCTGACGGAAAATCCGTTAAGCGTGTCACGGAAACGAAAGCAAAGCGCCGATTTCAGTACCCAATCTATCGGGCACGATTTATCGGCCTCGATTTAGGGCGGTTGGCGTCGTTGTGATTACACTGCATTAGATCGCCTCCCTAACTCAGTTGGCATGCAAACGTGGCGTTGAAAGGATGTCTCCTGCGCTCACAAAGTACCAAAAAATTGGCATAGCACTTACTTTTATTGCGGGCGTAAATAATAAAACAAATAAAGAAAATGATGGGTGAAAAAATATTTGCTTCTAAGACACAAACTATGCAGTTTGAACTACTTCAGAATGAGTTCTACACAATTTGATCATATATTAAACTTAGTCATACCTTATATAGCTCAAAACACTGTGCTGTAACCTTAAAATTTTTAGCAACGGGAAATGCATATCATGACTTAAAATATAAATACTCAATAAATTTATTGTTTCCATAGGTAATTTAAAACAATGTTACATAATTAAGTTAGTCTTACTATACCCTAACTCTAACCTAACTCTCTAACAGCGATTAGACTTCCCAATTTACAGTGTACTCGATGGATCGTGCCCGATAAATTGTGTAGTGAAATCGGCGCTTGAGTGTTAGTAAGCGATGGAATTTCCCCTCGTGTGTAAATAGTATATTACATATTAAACTGGCAAACTGGACGTACACGGACACGATGGCGGTGGCGATCACGGCCTTAAAAACTTAAGCAATTCTATCAAATCGCACGAGCGTTGCACCGCGGACGCCACCGCGCCCACGTACATCCAGTTTGCCAATTTTATCGCGAAAAGGATTAAAGGAAGTTGAAATAAGGGTTGAAAATACTAGTGCTCGATAATAACTGAATTAGCCGCGGTCGGGAAGCTAGAAGTACACTCTTAATTTGTCAGTTCTAATGGTCTACAATCGACGAGACGCGGAGCATCTTACGTCAGATGTGTACCGACTCTAATAATGATTAAGGACCTAAACTGCGTTAAGCGTGTGCCCGCAGAAGGCACACGTCGTCGTCGTGAACACGCGCGCATACTCAGTAGTAAAGTGACGGTTTTCTTTGCGGATACCGTCATGGACACCGGAATACTCGGTGTCGCCAGTTTCTAACGATACTTATCTTCTGTATTGAAATATAGTATATTTTTCTTGAATTCCTCCAAGCGTGTGACCCACATCAAACTCGTGATTGCTAACATTAACGGGCACCGCGCGGGCGGGTTTCACCTCCCCACGACGGTGGTCCGTCGGAGAGCTTTTGTATGGAACCGCGCAAGCGTCCGCTTAACGCAGATTACGTCAAATAGACCCTATTTGGGGTGACTGATTTCGTTTGTTTTTATTTATACTATACTTACTTTTCTGACAATGTTTGTCGTCCCAGCACAATAGCCGGCCAGTAGCGTCAGCGGGGCAATGCCTCTGTGACATCCTATGGTCGTCCATACGACTCTGCGCGTCCGGACAGAGCCCGCAGAGCCGTGTGTCGTAGTTTGACTGAAATAATAAAAAATATATTCACATTGTACATACAATAAAGACATTTTCAACAGAAATAAATAAACGTAACAAGTGGTTAACTCATCTATTTAGGAGCTCAGTGAAGTAGTGTAACGCCACGGCCCGCGGTCGTTGTTGTTAAGCAACTTTTACAAGGGTCGGTCAAGGGATGGGTTATCAAAAAATTATTATCTTGACCTACTCCGTGACTCGGAAGGCTCGTTAAGCAGTTGATTATTCCCGGGTGCATCTGTAGTCGTCAATCCGCATGTGGCCAGAGTGGAGGCTTATGGCCCATCAACCTTATCTTAACCATAAGGAAGGCCTGACACCTGCATTGGGGACGTGGAAGGGCTGATGATAATCTATTTGTGATCTATGTGTTTATGTTAATTTTCGTATTACTTTTTATTTATCTTTATGCGTAAGCTTAAGGTAAATTCAAATCAATACGAATGGAACGCATCGAAATAGGCCAAAAAAAAAAATATCAGATTTTTTGCATTCAAATACAATCTGAAACGTTAGAATTCTAATGTCACCAAACATTGATCTGCTATCAGTATTACTCACCCTAATCTTAATGTTAGGCAAGTCATTTTCGCTGACGATCACACTCCAGTCTATGGTGTTAGTATAACACAGCCTGTCGTTGAGTTGTATGCGAACAGCCCCCCGTTCAATCTTCGTTAATGAACGGAGCCCCAAGGACTGTAAATATAATACTTTGTAAATATAATATAACACTTTATGTATTATTAATGAAACTATGAGATTCGTCACAATCGCCTTTTACTTCCAGAAGCACACACAAAATGTCGTCGTGACAAGTTGACAGCCCATAACGCGGGAGACGACCATAGATACAAAATCAAAACCTATACTACATCTTCCCCTTCAAACTCTGATTCATCTGACAACATTAAATAGTCATTCAAATAGCCAGGAGGCTTCACATTTCTTTTTGGTCTACATAAATTAATAACTTGTTCTGTGTCACCCACATTAGCATTTCTATCAAATTGAACAGAAACATCGGATTTACTATTACGAGGCGTACCATTGACAGAATTATCAACCTCTGAAATTCTAGATCCATTATTATTTAAAATCACATCAGTATCTGGCACACATACTGTTCTTTGTCTATCAACTGTAAATTCATCACTTTCATACTCCATCTCCTCTCTAACATTTTTGATGTAAGATGGTTTTAATTGTGAAGTGTTTCTTCTTAATATATTGCCATTTTCTCCTGTAATAATAATAGATCTAGGAGATACATGAAAATCAACAACTTTTCCCGGCAACCATACATTATCCTTCAAGTAAACAATATTTTGGCCTTTAAAGAACTGATGCCTGTTAACTTTAGCATTTTTGTCATAACAATTTTTATTGGATATATCTTTATTATTCTGATATTTATTAAAATCTGTTATAATTTTAGGTTTTAACAATTTTTCATGAACAGGTAGTCGTGAACGAGTCATCCTGCTAAGTAACAGTTGTGAAGGTGAATAGGGAGACCCAAGCACAGGAGTGTTTCTATATTCTAACAATAAATACTCTAAATCTAACTTGTTTTCTTTACACTTTTTTAACATGTTTTTTGAAATACCAACAAACCTTTCAATTAATCCATTTGATTTTGGATATGATGGACTTGAAGTTTTAATAACAATACCCCACTGCCTAGCAAAATCTTGGAATTCCAAAGAGTTAAAGGGCATATTGTCAGCTCTTAAAATTTTTGGAATTCCATGTGTGGCAAATAGGCCTTTTAAAATTTTTATGACAGTATTAGCCTTTAATGAAGATACTTTAATTAATTCAAACCACTTACTATAATAATCTGCAACTACAAAGAAATTATCACCAGCAAACTGCAAAAAGTCACAACCAATTTGCTTAAATGGTAAATCGGGCCTTTCATCTAAAATCATGTACTCTTTGGCTTTTTTAACACTATATTTTTCACACAATCTACACTTTGATACCAAATTTAACACATCATATTTTATATTAGGCCAGTAGAACAAAGATGCCGCTCTAGCTTGTGTTTTATTAATGCCAAAATGTGAACTGTGAACATTCATAAGTATTTTATTTCTCAATATCAAAGGTATGATGATTTTATGATCTAAATACACAATAGAATCTTCGTAATAAATATTATTTTTAAATTTAAAATATGGTTTAACAATATCTGGAATCTTATCTATTTTACTAGGCCAGCCATTTTTACAAAAACCAATTATTGTTTGTAAAGTAATGTCTTTAGCAGTTTCTGCTTTAATTTCATTTAAATACTCTTCACTTACATTTACTGTATGTACTACTTTATCCAAAGACTTATCAAAATCATCACTTTTTGCTTTGCTAGAAGCCCTACTTATGGCATCTGCAATTAACATCTGTGAACCTCTTATATACTGTAGATCAAAGTCATACATTGATAATTTTATTCTAATTTTTCTTAGTCTTTGTGAACTGATTGCATGCAGTTCTTTATTCATCAATGCAACTAGTGGTTGATGATCAGTTTGAATTGTTATATGTCTACCGTATATATAGTAATGAAATTTTTGACATGCAAATAAAACAGCTAAAAACTCTTTATCAATTTGACCATACTCACATTCAGTTTTACTCAAACTTTTCGATGCAAATGCTATCGGGTGGTTATTTTGTATGAGTACACTGCCAATGGCACTTTGTGAACTATCTGTTTGAATTACTATTGGAAGACTCGAATCAAAGTTTTGAAGAACAGGAGGACTAATAATTATACATTTTATATCTTCAATACATTTAGAATGTACATTATCATTCCACTGAAAAACTACATCTTTTTTTAATAATTCACGCAATGGAAAGGTGATTTCAGATAAGTTTGGAATGAAATCCCTTAGATAATTTACCATTCCCAAGAAACGCTGTAAGCTCTTTTTGTCTTTTGGTATGTCATAGTTTGAAATTGCTTCTATCTTCTTTCTATCAGGTAACAGACACCCATCCTTAATTTCATGACCAAAATATTTAACTGTATTTGGAAGATACTGGAATTTTTTAAGATTAAACTTGATATTGAGTTCCCTAGCCCGTGACAGTACTCTATTTAAAGCTATATCATGTTCAGCTTTAGTACGGCCATAGATTAAAAAATCATCGATATAAATAAAAATATTATCAATACCATTAAAGTGTTTTTCACAATTTTCTTGAAAAATTTCAGCAGAAACATCGAGGCCAAAAGGTAGTACATTAAAGGAGTATGTTCCAAAAACAGTTGAAAAGGTACATAACTTTTTACTGTCCTCTGACAAACCTATTTGCCAGAAAGATTCTTTCAAATCTAACACAGAGAAAAACTTTGCCTTACCTATCTTTGTTTTTAAATCATTAATTGTAGGTATCTCATAATATTTTTTTAAGATACACTTATTAAGGGCTTTAGGATCTAGGCACACCCTAATAGAGTCTTCATCCTTTTCAACAATCACAATTCTATTAATCCATTCAGTAGGTTCTTTTTGTTTGGAAATAACACCCAGATGGCATAAACGTTCTAGTTCAATTTTTAGTTTTTCTTTTAATTTTATAGGTACCCTATGTGGAGGTTTAGATACAGGTTCTGAGTCTGGTTTTAGTTTCAACTCATGCAGCTCAGGAAACCTGCCTGAACCTGTAAAGACATCAGAAAATTTATGAATAACTTCACTTTTGTCTATGGTTCCACTAGTTTCAGTCTTAATATTGTTGACCTGTTTCCTTTCTATTAACCCAAGCAAAACACATGTATCTTTACCTAAAGTTGGCAGATATCCTGACTCTGTAACTATAAAATCTATAAAATATGACTTAGATCCCAATTTTATTTCTAACATTACAGTTCCATATACATTTATACTTGATTTATTGTATGCATTTAATCTAACTTTACATTTATTTAAACTCAGCTTTTTTAACTTTAATAATTTGTTGTAAACTTGGTATGGTATTAAATTAACCTCAGAACCTGTGTCCAATTTAAATTTAACATAAATGCTATTTTCTATCAATAATTTTTCTTCCCAACAAATATTTAAACAATCAGTAATGTGTAATACAGACCCGCAGTAATACTCTTCACCACTGGAATTATTCAGTTCGTTGTTGTTCACCGCTCTTACAGTATGCAATTTTGTATAACACACCTTAGCAAAGTGATTTAGTTTTCGACATTTAGTACACTCCTTCCCCCTCGCAGGACATTTTTGTAATTTGGCAACATGCTGTTGACCACACCACTTACATTTTATCACCCTTTCATCCAATGCTTTACTTTTATTTACTGCATCAACCACCAGTGAATTTGATTCCTTCAACTGAATTTCTTGTATTTGCTTCCTGTCTAATTCTGCAACTCTCAACCTTTTTATGACCTCATCTAAGGATAATTCTCCTTCGACTAATAACTTACTCTGACATCTTGTATCTGACGTTCCCAATACTAACTTGTCTCGGAGTGCCTCTTCCTCAATTTTAAAACTACAATCTTTTACCAATTTAGTCACTTCGGTTAAGAATTTGTCAAAAGGTTCACCCTCCATCTGTTGTCTTTTATAAAACAAGTATCGACTGTAGAGTACATTTTTCTTGGGTTGACAATATTTTTCAAATTCTTGCAATACATTTTCGAACGTGTCTTCCTCTTTTTTCAAGTTGAAATTATTGTAGATTTTTAGACCTTCCTCTCCCACAAAATTAAGAAATATGGCAAGTTTCCTCTTATCAGATTTTTCTTCTAAACCTGCAGCTACTAAATAAATGTCGAGGGCTTGCTTGAAAACTCGCCAGTTCTCTGCCAAGTTACCTGACAAAACCAATTTTTCAGGTAGATTGCACTGCATCATTTTGAAAGCTGCGCCATGTATTATTAATGAAACTATGAGATTCGTCACAATCGCCTTTTACTTCCAGAAGCACACACAAAATGTCGTCGTGACAAGTTGACAGCCCATAACGCGGGAGACGACCATAGATACAAAATCAAAACCTATACTACACTTTAAATATGTATAGTAAAAATAATCAAATTTTCTTAATACAAAATGCTTAAAAAATCCACTTGGTCCCTGGCACCCTGAGATGGCAATCGAACCCACGACCTTTTAAGCATTTTGTATTAAGAATAAGTTTCAGTATAGCATTGTGAATACGAAATTAATAAAATATAATAATTAAATTTATTAATCTATAAGAACACTGATTGTCGATTTATGTCTAATGGATGCGTATTCCCTGGACAAACAACTCGCTGTGAACTTTTCAATTTAGAATGTACGATTCCCGAAACCTCCAGTTTCAGAAAAATTCAATTCCTGAAATGTCCAGTTCCCGAAATGTACGATTCAAGATTTGTCACGATTGTCAAAAACCGATCGCGATAATAGATTGAACATTTCGAGAACTGGACACTTCGTCAATTGGTCATATCAGAAATGGATAATTCAGGAACTGGCCATTTTGGGAATTGGACATTCTGAACTAAAAAAGACTGAAAAGCTTCGGGCCTAAAATTTTTGCGAGCAAGACTACCTAATCAAGGCCTAGTCTTTTGAGGAGGGGAATATTTTGAAATAGCGTAGTTATAACCGCCCTTCATTCCTCGAGACTTCATTTAACTTAATGATTGTAGAAAACCTTATAATGCTAAAGATGACAACAATAAAGGCAAATTTTGAGTTCATATTATTAATTGGCATTTCAGAGTAGCAACGGTAGATATAACCTTATTGTTGCAAAGCATTGTTTTATTTATATACACAATATATAAAACAAAGAAAATTTGTTATTTATCAAAAGTAAATCAGAATTCTCATAAATTCGGTACCGGTTTAGAGACTATGTCTGTATACATATTTATAGATAGTTACGATTATATAAAAATGGATGTCTACCTCAAGATGTGCACTATCGTATACAACAATAGCATAATCTTTGTAGAGCTGCATTCCTCGCACCACAGTCAGGTTGGGAAACAGATCGCCAAGGTTGCGCAGGCCTTTCACTCTGGAAAAACATCAACAAATAAACAACGTCGATCGCGTAGCTACAGATAAATCTTTGTAAGCACTATTAAGCGGTTAATAAATCATAGTAACCTTACACAATGCAATCAAACAAATATTAATTTCATTAATCATAATATTTAAAAAAGAAATTCAGACGTACAAGGAAACTTCAAGTTAACTACCACAACAGCGAGACAATTAGGAACCCCTTTAACGTTCCGAACATAACCAGTTTGATCTACAATTCAAATAACGTAAACATAATCATAAGCACTCAACGTGAGCATAGTCTGAACTGATGATGTGTAATAAACTAATTTTGTAGTGGTGAATGACAGTTACAATATTATATACCTATGGCTAAAGAAGGGTTAAAATAACATATAATTCGAATATTAGATACATATATCGAGACGACAAGTTAATATCAAAGATCGAAAGAGTTTCTGTAAAAAAGTTCCATAGGTATACCTATAATATCTTTTTAATTGTAAAGGAGGTATTGTTTCTTTTCATTGTTAAGCTCGATCACATTTTGTGTTTCATGAATGAAGAGGAAAGCATTAAAAATTCACATTAGATTTCTAATATTAGTACTACGTTTAAAATAATGATACACACCTATAGATCTTAATGAAGTCTGTGACTTCTCGTAGCTCTGGAAATGATATATTGTCGAAGGAGCCCGGTAAAGCGTGCTCCATGACGACGATACTCAACTGGCCCTCTACGACACGACAGCCGCGGAGTTTCTGCATCTGGTCCGGGGTGCCTCTGATGTCCAGGGAAGGGCATACTGAAACAAAACTTCACTTTTATAGTCAAATACGAGCACAATCTAATAACGATTACCTCCGCAGCTGAGTGGCTCGTAACCCGGTTTCGAGATGGCGCCATCACTGAAGTCACGAGCTCGATTCCAGGTCGGATCAATATAGAAAATTTTAGGGCCTTAGCTACTTAATTTAGTATTTCAGCAATGTATGGGATGTTGTCTAAAATTAATGCATGCAGTAACTGTCACCAGCATAAGTTGTAGCTTAGAGTAGGTGAAAAAAATGTCATGATCCCATAATTGTTTCCAAAGATTACCCTACTTAAGTTTGTTTCATGTTTCACGATAGGCGGCTTAAACACAACACCGCAGTAATATTATTTCTCCGAAGACTAGCTGAGAGTAATATCTATTCACGGATGTAAAATCTTTTATCGTGGAGAAAGAGTTTCACCAACGTATGAAAATAGCTAGAGGCCCTAAGGTCTCATTAATATTATCAAGTATGAAATCTGGTAAGAGTCATGACATGATGTGGTCTGGTTTAAGTCACGCACAAAATAGTGGTAGGGGAGGTGTGATATATCTTACAGGACAGCAACTAATTTATACTTCTGCTTCACCAGTTACTGCCTTAAAAGTCAAGTTACCACAATATGACAAATTTCTGCAATTTTACATTTATCTTAAATAAGGTTTAAAATCGCGTGAAGTTTAGTAATGTTGTATAGTCTGACGTGCAGTTGACTGTACAGCGTTGAAAAATTAAAGTGTAATGAAAATAAATATAAAAGTCTTACAAAATCGGCAAGAATAACCAAGGAATAATCAAAGTTTAAATTACTGATGTAAATTTCTTTAAATTCGTAGCAATTTTCATGATTTATATTAGAACATTATGTTTTATGTTGTTTTGCGACAGAAAAATAAGCACTAAGAGTTGAGGGGGGCCGACATACCCCTGTGTCGCTTGACCAGACGCTAGGGATAGAACGTAAATCCAAAATAAGGTTTTTTGATTTACGTTCCCTTGGTCACAAAAAAGGGTTTTCAGTCGTGCGGAATTTATCTTCATTTAAAGAACATACGGAGAGCGTACTTTTTTATTTCTGTCCACATTTATGCTTATAATGCTTTTTGTTACATACAAATCATACGTTCTCATGACATGTCCATACCAAGATTGTGGCGTCTCTGTAGCTTGTCAGCAATTTCGCCCTAGTGTTCCGTTAAGGCAATATTAATGTTAGCGTAATTATGTAAAATACTTATCGCTTCAAATACAACCATTTATGACACAGCTCCTGTTACTAGATCAAAAAATAAATATATCTGTCACCATTGATTTACTAGGGAGACATTGCACTAATAATATTGGACTTCGTGTAGACAGTAGTGCAAAATGCAAGTAGGTCAGGTTTTATTGAGTTGCGATTATTATGTAAAAATATTATTGATAAAAATCGTATTAAGTTTTTAAAATCTCAGCATACATATAGGGGGAGGCGACTTTTGTTTTATTCTATGTATACGTTCATTTTTTACGAGTAACATAAAATGTCTTTGAATTCGAGATGTTTCTAAATGAAAAGATCAAATAAATTGCACCATATTCGACGTTAGTGACATCACCAACGCACACAGTACACAACACAATTAAACTGTTATTGTTTACGCGGATATGTTATTAAGTAATTATCTCCTGCTGGGAATGCCACGAGAGACCACATAGGATAAAACGGTATCGACAATCATATTGTTAATTGGAACATTGTTAACATAATAACAAATGGAAATACTAATTGGAACATCAAAACAAAAGATCTACAAAAATTATTAACATCGATTCTGTCGGAATAGTTACTTTTTTAAATTCCACCTCTTTGGTAAGGGTGATCCATAGAGATTCAAATGTCGTGAGAAAAATAACTATGAGATATTCAAATATAATATTAAAAGCAATATTTATCCTATAAAGTGGAATACTTATAATTTTTCTAAAAGCTTCAGTTATTTGAATATGCAAACCAGTATAGAATTTACTACATCCACAGAAAACGGGCCGCCTTTATCATTATCTAAAATTAGATAAATACTAATTTTGAGAGACTCAATTGCAAAAGGTTTTTTATAATTGGTTATTTAATTATCTCATTATTTACCTTATCTCTATCATCATCAGAAATGATAAATTAAAAAATAAATATTTCCAAATATTATACATGTGTTTATTGCATTCTAGCAAAAATACCTAGACCACATTTAACTTTCTGTTAACTGATGAATAATTGAAAATTCAGTTATGAATATGGATCTCAAAATCCAGTGGCAGTCACAGTCTAAAATTGTTTGAACTTTATAAAGTCATAGAAAAATAAAGAATGAAATAAACCAGTCCTCGCGTAACGTGAAAGTTATGTAGCCATTAACTGGAATTTCAATTAAGCGTCATTACTTTGTTTATAAACACAGACCATAAAGAACAGAGCGGGTGGGAGGGAAGGGTAAGCAAGGCCGCGAAGTATTGCGTCGTTTTTTCGTATCAGCATGTTTCAGTGTTTTCGAGTAAATTGTGTTTGTTGAACGAGCGGCAGACGAGAGAGCGCATGTGCAACGTGAGAGTGTATCCAAAATGGTGGGGACTACGTAAATAAAACGCAACGCTTAGAACGTAAGAGGAACCTCAGCAACCAACTGTGTTAAAATTATCGGATAACTAAATAAACTAAACTTCAGCTTGTCAAAATGAGGCAAATAAATAGCCAATTGTGTTAACAAATGTCTTTATATTATCGCTAAATGAGTTCGCAAGGCGCCAGACTTTGAAAATAATACCGCCGCCATCTCACATAACACGATGAACTAGCTAAGTGGTCATGTATAACATATTCGAGACTATAATTGTAAAGACTGTAGAGTAAGAAAACATGGACACGTCATGGTCGGTGCATGGTAATGCAAATGAACTCGCATAGACAGAGACAACGCTCGCCCCTCGCCCCGCATGTCTCTCTTACCCACCGTATATTTATAGACTATGGAATGGAATGTTATTGTACAGGGCTAGTGGTGTCCAATAACTACAGTAACGTCATTTATCATGATATTAGTGACATATCTCTCTCACTGTTAGATAAACTCTTAAATTA